ACTACGGATCCTATATTGCAAAAAAAAAAGAGAAAAAATAGTGCTGAATATAAAACAACATTCACAAATGTATTATAACATGGAATTGGGACATTTAACTAAAAATAAATATGTACAGTGACCAAACATTCGCAGCCATAGTCATATAATAAATTATATTTAAAAAAAACAATTGTAGAATTTAAGTATATTCGTTTGTACTGTATTTATCATACAGGAATGCAAATTGAATACGGTTGAATATGGTAATGACATTTCATGACAAAAACAAAAACAAGAAAAAATTAATGATAATAAAAAGTGCAATGAGCTTATTCTCTATAACCAGAACTCAAAAGAATCCTTCAAAATTATCATGATTTTGTAAATGTATGCAGTTGATTAAATTACAAATTTTGAAAGCATTGAAATAAGTGTAAGGCCACTTTTTCTAAAGACATAAATTTTAGTTCGACATTTTTTTTTTCGGCTGGAAGCGACTAATTGAATTTTTTTTGCATATGGATTAAAATATCTCAAAAACTAAAAATCAGACATGCATACTGTTAGCAAGATAATGTTCAACATTTCATTCTCTTTGTAATAAGCTATAATTCAAAGTTTAGTTTGTATTTTGACGTGACGCCGAGTTAAAGAGTTGGAAAGGGAAAAGGAAAGTGCCAAAAAACAAATAATAAGATCTTCTGGTTTCAAGATTTGGATTAAAATATCTCAAAATTTAAATACCATGGGAAATTCAGAAACCAATTTGGATAATTCAATATAGATAGTTTTTTAATTGGTGTAATAAAATCAATGTATATAGTCATAGATTTATTTAATCTAAAATATATTGACCATTATTTAATATGAATTTTCCCCCATCTTTCCACTAACTGCATAATGCCATGTTCATATAATGTCTGGAATTCATGGAGTTCTGCAGAGACCGGAATAAGTGGTAGTCACTTGGAGTCAGGTTTCGTGAATACGGGAGGCGGGACAAAAGATCCCATCCAAGGCTCAATAATTTATTACTAGTGTCCAATGAGGTGTGGAGCCTAGAGTTGTCTTAGTGGAACGCAACACCCTTCTAATCATCCATAAATCTTCAGGATGTTCTCCAAATTTATGAATTTGGTGTTATTATATCCGTTAGAAAGCTGAATTATTGCTTTTCAGGGCCGTATTAGTGATTTTCGTAATATAATGCCTACAGGAGGAATAAATAAACTAAAACTCCTTATAGGTTTTTATTTTTTATCTCCATTTGTAGTTTGTTTACGAAGGTCATGCTGATGTCATATTGTGTAATTTATGTAGCTCTAAATTCCGGATAAATTTCTTGTAAATAGCTAAAGTCGTCTTAAAGTTATAACAATTTTTGGGATTTTCGAAAAAAAAAATACTGGAAACATCGAAGAGCTTGTGCAAATGGTTGTCTACGCTTGTGTACCATACATTTAGGGCCATAGCAATCTCTCTCACTGATTGGGTAGGATTTTGATCAACAATGGTCTTAACATTGCTAGTTTCAATTTCATGAGAGCGACCGGACCGTTGAGCATCATTGATGTCAAAATTTCCTGAATGAAATTTGGCAAAACAATGCAAACAAGGCACCATATCCATAAACACTGCAAATTTTTTTATGAGCTTCTGTAGCACGCTTATCTTATTTAAAATAATACAACAAAATATGCCGATAATGAATGATATTTTCTTCCATATTCACTGTGCAATAGCAAATACAATTCTAAGCTAGTTTCAACAAGACTTAACAGATATAGTTGTTGACATATTATCAACAGGACAAACAATCCACCTTAGGGATTAATTTATCAAATAAGAAATGTATCATAGTGACGTAAAAACAAATAGAAAAACCGAAAGGACTTGTTTACCAACCCAATAGAATGGAATAAAAATCTGCTGTAACAAGTTACTTTGACAAACTGTTAGCAAAGTTTGTTTCAATAACTTGATATTATGTGTAATAAATTATAATCAAATTCCATTTTCATTCATATTATCTATGTTAATTTATAAATTATAACTAAATTTTTAAGCTATATTTTTTTTTAGATCAAAGAAACGGATTCTCAATCACTGGAGATATCAACATACTGCGGTACATCATGCGAGAAGAACGGAATACTCTACATAATTCGATGTTATCATAACTGCCCAACAGTGTTAAAGCATAGAATGTCGAAAATATGAACAACGTTGGTGTAAATCAAACGGTTACCGATCTGTCTGTTTAGTGCTGCGAGTGTTGTTCGCGTATGAATACATGAATTTTGTATAACATGCGCATATACGCAGTACATCCTCCGTTTTAAAATTTATAAGGTTGTACGAATTTCTAAATTAGTGATGCGGTATAATCTTTTTTTAATGATTTATTATTATCATTTTTTTTTTTTTTTTGAAAAATCTATTTATTGAATAATAATACAATCAGCCACTGATAGAGGGCTATAATTATTAGGGCAAAAAGTTCTCATTCATACAATATATACAAATAATAGAGAAATAAATATAATTATAAAAAGTAAATAAATAATACTGATGAAGAAAGTAAATAAAAAGAAATAAATAAACAAATAAAATAATAGAAAAACTTCTAAACACAATCATACCTATGATTTATTAAATATTGTTATAATTGTACACCCAGTAAAAAATAATTTGAAAAAATAAATAACCACAATCTTTGGAGAGGAAACAGAAAGCATCTTTAAATAAATGTAACATAATTATTAGTAGCAAAGGAATTCTATTTTTTAAGGATGAAATATTCGATCGATCAACGTCTAATGCGACACAATAAATAATCACTTACCACAGTCGGACTCGAACCCGGAGCTATAATGCACGATCATAGTTTGGAAAGGCATTGAACTTCTAGGAAGAAAACAAGGAGACCAAATTATCTAGTTGTGATTTTGGATAACTTAAAATGGATACTTTTACTATTTTGTGGAAACTAACATATTTTTACCATGCTATCTTTTTACTTTTTATTAATTGCCTTTTTTTCGGATCTGCACTATATAAAAATGTTAAATGGTTTCAAGGAGAAAATTTTAGAAAAGGTTCATAAAATATTTTTAAAGCTTTTTTTTTTTTTTTTGATGATATTTACAACTGTATTACAAGTAAAAATACATTCAGTAAATGTGAACAAAGGAATAAAATAGCATGAAATCACATGTTGAGAAACTACCCATTGGTAGCACTCTAAAAATGTATTTACAAAAGGAGATCTCGAGGCCATCTTATTTTCAGACGCCTCTGAGGGTTGTCAGGGATCGAAGAGGAAGCAAGGTTAAAAACGAGAGGGTTTGGATGGTTCTGAAGTTTGTTATGGAAGGATAAGTATCTGGATTAGGCCAGGTCAGAAACATAAGGAACATTAAGGTCGTTATGGATGATTTTGTTTGTGAAAGTAAGGAGCAGTGAGGATTTTACGAAAGATTTTGGATTGTAAGGATTGAATACGAGAGGAATTCGATGGCTTAGTGGAGCCCCAGAGCTCAACTCCGTAAGTCCAAATAGGTCTTATTATAGTCAAGTATATGAGTCTTTTGTAATTAAGGGGAAGTTTAGAGCGTTTGTCTAGTAAGTGTTGGAGTAGTCGGAAACGTCGAGCGGTTTCTTGTCGTTTTAGTCTGGTATGAGGATTCCAAGTTAGACGTTTGTCTAAGTGGAGTCTAAGGTATCGAATTTGTTCAACAGGGGTAAGTGGGGTATTATTAAAGGATACTGTAGGACAAGAGGACATAGGTTTACGACGAAGGGTAAAGGTTATTTGATGGGATTTATTGGAATTTATTTTTATTCTCCAGTTTTGACACTATTCTTCAAGGTTTGTGATGTGTGATTGAAGGGTTTGGATGCAATGGTTGGGTCGTTATTAACTGATAGGACACATATATCATCGGCATACGTGGTGATTACTGTGTTAGGATGGGTTGGGATATCAGCTGTATAAACTGTATAAAGGATAGGACCTAGGATACTACCTTGAGGAACACCAGCGGACTGGGAATTAAAAGTTCTTAAATTACATTCTAAAGAAAAATACGTTAGGGGTATTTAGGTGTATGCATATGAAATACGCATATGCATTTGAGTAAATTTAAAATAAATTTAACTGTCCACAGGTAATAAAAAGTGAAATAAAAAGTTTTTCATAATTTTTATCATAAATTTTTTAATGTCATAAGTTATTAAAGAGCGGATTAATGTTTTATATATAATCGTTTTTTTTTTGTTTTTTTTATATTCAATTGTGAATATCTATTGAAATATAGTGACATTTTGCTCATCATATTTTTGGCTTTATTGCACCTGTTATTAATATTTTGGGTGAAATTTAGGGACCTATCAAGTTCCAGGCTTAAATATTTCACGAAGATAGACTAAGGGATCTGCACTTTGTTTAAGTGTATGTTACGGTTTATACAATAATTGTTTCAGTTTTTTGACCTAATATAATATTCTATTTTTCAAAATACCATCAGAGTTTTATAAATTGGGGTCGTAATCTGTTGGTTATAGTATTTATTTTAATTCTTTATATTAATTTCTCTTTTGTATGTACATATTGTATGAATGAATGCTTATAGCCCTATTACTTGTTGCTATATGGCAGATGTTATTATTATATAAATGAATGTAAATAAGGAAAAATAAATGTAAATATTTCTGTTAAAAAGATATTTATTGCCATGTTTATCAGTAATAATAGTGAGAACATGTAGTAACGATAGTCTTAAATAATACATCTTGCAGTATTTATCGCAAGAAAGTTACAACGCACACTCAGACTACAAGAATTCTTCATCCCTTTGAAATATTCATATAGTATGAAAGGAATGAGGATCATACATGAGTGATTGATAACCAGCTTTGAAAGAAGGGACGAAGATAGTAGAGTGCCAAAAAAGAAGGAAGGACTAAAATTAAAAAAGAAGAGTCCTGGGAGTGCAGCGGGATAGAGGGGAGGGGAGATGCCCACCCCTCAGGCCTTTGCATATATTGCATTCCTCAGCCGGAGGAGAATGCTAGATATGTGGCAGTCAGTGGCGATTATGGTGATCTTGGGCCACTGGTTCATCTCCGCCACCATTTACCTAAGTAATGGTCTCATTCCTCCAGCTCTTCGCCGAAGAGGCGTCCATCTTAACTTCAGCTCTAACCGTCCTCCACGGCCGTTTATATTGCTAGGCTATGCCGTTCTAGAGGGAATGCCCTAATCCCATGAACCATTCTGTAGAACAGTAGATTGTTTCATTATACTGAGGAAAATTACTCATAGGAAAACTTAAATAGTGTAGTAACATTAAAGTATTTAATTGAAAAGTATTAAATAACATTAAAGATAAATATATAAAATCAAAAACGCAGGAGTAGTATACAAAATAAATTGTTTGGACTGCCCAGGAGTATATTATGGACAATCAGGACAATTTATAAGAGACAGAATCATCGACATACTAATGACTACAAAAATAATTTTTTTTAAATATAATAAAAAAAAACAAACAATGGTACAACATAGTATAGAGAAAAGACATATGTAGACATATAGAAATTATGTATTAGGGAAACAAATATTTTTAGTGACTATCACGGAAAATTTTGAAAATATTAAATCTGTAGAAGCTAGTAAACTTTAAATCTGATTTAAAAAAAAACATCCAAAACCGTCAGTTGAATAGTGCACCGAGATACTCCCAAGTGTCTTACCACTACACTGAGTTAAAGTGGCTCTTCCCCTCCATTCGAAGACAATATTTCCTAGGTACGTTCCTCTACCAAATCATCAACAATCATCATCCTTCTTACGCCTACAACCTTCTCCAATTCAGGTCCTCAGTCCACTCCCTTTTCACAAGATCTCGACCTTCCGACCTTTAAATTCCTTCTCACAGATCTGCCTCGTTCCAAAATTCTTTATTGCTCGCCTTGTTAATTTCTGGAATTCCCTTCCTATCAAAATCCGACATTCTCCCCCCCTATCTACATTTAAAACCCTCCTATTCCAATTTCTTTCCCAAAAACAGTTAGACACTCCCCCTCCCCTCCCCCTAACTTTTTATGTAAATTTACATATTATTCAAAATGATTCACATAATGATATATTTGCATATAATTCATCACTTAAATACTTACTATCAGATTCGTCTTCTTTTTTTTTCCTGCAGAAACACAGAGTTTATTGCCAGGAAGAATGTAACGTATTTTTTATTTATTTTTTTTTAAAGTGTATACTATGTTTTACCACTGTACATAGTTTTGAGTGTCTTGACATGGTTTCAAGTGTTTTGTATATAGATTTTTTTATTTTGTACAAGTATGTTTAACTAATATTTTCTTTACTTTTTTTTTCTCTACTTTTACTTTTTATGTTTGTTTTTACTTAGGCTAGATATAATATTTTAATTTTGTAATTTTTTGTTATTTTAAAGGGACTTAGTACGTATTGTTAAAAAAATACCGAGAGCTCAAGTGATCTGCTTCAAAATTTTTGTTGGCTAAACATCCGCGCTCTATTTAAGAACCTGGAATTCAAAGAATAATTAAATGAACCTGAAAAACGAGCTAGACCAGCGTTGGAAAACGTGTGTGAACAATTTTCGGGTAACAAAAGAGCTACAAATTACAAAGAAATTGTAAAAGAATTGTTTTTATCATATAAGGCCACGGGTCATATAAAAAATGATATTGAAAATTAATTTTTTCAATTTCATTTGGAGCACTTTCAGTTGAACATGGAAAGCAGATTCACCAAAATGTTTCCCATATATAACGGTAAATACAATGACAATATGCTAGTGTTGACTAGTGTTGGACTCAACGGGAGGTAGCTGATAGAAGGAAAAAAAAAATAAACATTGACAAGGCATAAAGTTATATTATGTTATTAAATATTTTATATATTATCATTCACAAGAAAGTAAATAAATAAACGAAGTAAGAAAAAACATGGTATTTCAAAAACAACCTCAATTTTCTCAAAAACGGTGCCTGATAGAATTTTTTGGACTTCAGATTCGAACTCAACACACATGGAAATATAAAAATTAGGAAAAATATCTCAAGGGAGTATAATAGATTTTTTCTTTGGAAAAAAGTGTTATCAATGTTTTTCTTTCAAATATCAAAATTACTCTAATTTTTTTATCATAATTATATATATTTGTTTATTTAGAAATATTACATTCTGTCACATCAAGGACATTTATAATAGTGTTCAGAGAGCACACTCACACTCTATTTACAATAATAAAAATAAATAATACAGAAACTTAATCTTATCATAATTAATGTTTTTATTGTGGAATTTAGCTCTTTATTTTTAATTAATTATAGTTAAATTATTAATATATTAATAATATTAATACTGCAGCATAGATTTCAATTTAAATAAACGTTTTTAAATTAATGCTAATAATTAATCATATATCATAAGATCTCAGGAGGTATAACCAGTTATCTAAAAAGTGGATGAAATATCTCCAAACTTATCTGCGGAATAAAAAGAATAGTTTAAAGAAGTATCCTAAATTAAAAAATAAATAAATAAATAAAGATGAATATTTAAAATTGGTATCTACTATAGCATAATCTTGGACTTGGTCTTGCCCAAGAGTATCGCAACATTCTTCCAATTATCTGTTAACTTATTACTATAGAGAAATATTCTGTAATTTTTAAGGTAGAGAAAACCTAACTATGCCCAAATTAAAAATTGGAAGAGTTAAATGCAAAAGTATTCTGTTGATACCAATTTTTTAGATATAGTAACTAAAATTATCAAGTATTAGTAACTATTTTACCTGAACTTTTTATTCACAAAAATGATTTTTTTTTTATCAATCTTGGCTTTGGTCTTGCAAAGTGCAGAAGAGTACTGATTAGATCACAAAAAATTCATAAATCGAATTCTAAATATGATTAAAATATAAAACCCAAAAATAGTCACATTTGTATTTGTGAAACAGATTCAATAAACATGTTGAAACCTAGAAGGATGAAATATTTTGTGATATAATCAGTACTCGACCAACTGAAATGCATTGAACCATAAATCAGAGGCATATATTCGGTAGCAAATGAGCAGAGACTAAAATTAATTAAAATAAGGGAAGCTGCTCTAATGTTGCTGACGCTTAATGAATTCAGAGGGAAAATTGAAACAGTGGCTGGCAATATTATGTGTTTTAATCAACAATTTAACCCAAGTGAATATTAACGGTTGGATAGACCAGCTTTACAGAATATGGACGCATAAAGGTAAATTTGCCAGCTTGATCATTATCCGCCCAAAACACTTTCGGCTAGGTCACATTTGTTTTCAGAACCTGAAGTCAGCGGTCCTAGAATATAGGCTGTAATATAATCAGCACAAACCCCTCTTAAATAACTCATAATGAAAGCGATTAATTAAAAAAAAACAACGAAGATATGTGCTTTAGACAACACGATATAAGTGAAAACATCAGTGAGATGAGAATAATAATATAAAATATAAATTATAAATGATAGCTCATTAAAAAGAGGATGAAATGCTTAACAATTTCCTCACTTACAGTGTCCGTTTCCAAATTTTAGTTTCTGAGATATTTAAATCAATATCTTAAATAAAACTGGTTATCATTTGATTTTCGACATTATTTTTTACATTTTAGCCTCTCTAACACGACGTCGCGTTGAGACACAGTTTTGAATAATAGCTCATTACAAAGAGGATGAAATGATGAACATTTTCCTCGTAACAGGTCCGAATTTTAGTTTTCAGATATTTTAATCCATATTCAAAAATACCTAGTCCACTCCAGCCGACTTTATCCGAGCGTTACTTAATTAATTCAAATGTTTGATAATTATTAAGAATTAGAAAATAAATATTTACCACATATAATATACTTCGCTTAGACAAATTGAATAATTATTGAAGATAGTCCTTTCATTATATGCAGCATTAATATAAATTGTTTTTTTTTTTTAATATTTCAGTGTGATTTGATAATAAATTTAGTCTATCTTTTTTTTTTTTTTTTTTTTTTGAATGGAATATGACAATTTATGAGGGGTAAAGGTTACGTATCATGATAAGATAATAGCGTTTAATGTCAAATTAATAAGTGTCCTTAATAAAAAGCCCATAAATAGTAAATTAAACAGAGGGGTACAGTAAGTTCGCCCACATCTATCCAAGTACTGCCTTAGCTATCAGTATCAGCTATGAGTAATGTCATCTGCTGTAATTAATATATATATATATATATATATATATATATATATATATATATATGTATATATGTGTGTGTATGTATGTATATAAATAAATAAATATGCTGTGAGTCAATCTAGGAGAACTTGTAAAGTACAATGGGAATGATTTACAGTCGATGAAGAACAAAGAAGTTAAATTAGACAGACTTAGATATCTATATAAAAACCTATATAACAAGAAAATTCTTTCCAGAAAAGAAAAGACAAGTTACTATGAACCAGTATTTAAGCCTGTGGTGTTATATGGAATGAAGACAATGATATTTACCAGTAACGAAAATTTACTGAAAAAAAAGAAGGGAAAACAGATAAACGAATTCATGGATTAAGAAAGGTATGAAATAAGTACTGGCATGAAAATAATCAAGAATTGTATGAAGAAATCGTAGATTTTTTTTTTTTTTTTTATTTATTTATTTTTTTTTTTTTATTGAATAATAATACAATCAGCCACTGTTGGAGGACTATAAGTTCTCTGGGCTATAAATTCTCTGGATATATATATATATATATATATATATATTTTAAAATATGTTTTCTCTTATGTCCGGCAAGGCAGGACATGTGTCTAGATGTTCTGCATCCATTGTTCCTAAGATAAGAGAAAACATATTAAAAAAAAAAAAAAATATATATATATATATATATATATATATATATATATTTTAAAATATGTTTTCTCTTATGTCCGGCAAGGCAGGACATGTGTCTAGATGGTCTGCATCCATTGTTCCTTATATACATACATATCATTATTATCTCGGTTTTCCTTTTAGCCCTAGCTTCCTTCGTTTTTCCACTCACTTCCCCTCAATTTATACCTTTCTAGATATTTCTCTTCTTATACCCAAGTTTTACTATTTTCTACATTTATATGTTCAGAATATGTTCTTCGATGTTCTTCAATCCCTATGTCAGATATCTGTTTGTTTATCCCACTAGCGGATCCAGGATT